ACCACCAACCACCGCACGTGTCGCCGCCTCGACAGCCTCCTCCGCAGATCTGCCGCCGCAGCCACGTATGGCCAGCCGTCCCCACCGTGCACCCTCCCATCACGCTTCCGCCTCCTCGGCACGGACAAGCTCCTTCCTTCGACAGAGTAACCGCCGCCGCCGCACGTGTCGCCGCCCCCTTACTCGCCCCCAACCACATCTTGGGTGACCACCGCCTCCTCCGCTCACGGACAAGCTCCCAGACAGCGGCAGCCACCTCGCCATGGCTCTCGCCGCACTCCCAACCTTGGCAACCTCCTCAAGTCTCGCCACCTCCACGCAATTATGAACAGCCCATCCACCAAGGCCTCCTCGACGCGCCCACAAACCGACCTCATCGACACGCAAACAACTCCACAACCTCCACCGCGGAACATCCGGTCCCCACCTCGGCATGCACCGTCGCCGCGCCCAGGCCATCCATCCCCACCACGACACGACACAGCCTCCGCACCGCCACCCGTTGGGGCGCCGCCGCCGCCTCCACGCATGCACGCCTCGCACAGCCTCCTCCTTCGCCGACATGGCCCACTCCACCGTCGTACGGCCGGTATCCACCACCGCCACCCCCATCTCCGCCGTACCTCTAGTTGAGTGTTGTGACTTTGGGATGCATGTTGATTCGGATCTATCGGTACGTGCTACCTTGGTTGTGTTTGTTGTGCGCCTCTGAAAAGGGGAATGCGTCCCTCTTAATAAATTAATGCGTACGTGCGATAGGAGCTCTTCATTTATTTTGTTGTTGGTTTTAGTAATTACTAGAAGTCAAAATTGAGACTCAAATCTAATTGGGCCACCAAAGGAACAACTTATTACTAAGAATTAATTAGTACTTCGAACTCATAATTAATCGGTCAAAGTAAATTACAAGGAATGAAGAATAGAGAAGGGCTTTGCTGGGCCTTTTAATACAGGGAATAAGGATGAATTGATCAATTCTTGGTTTCAATTTATTTTATGAATAAATTTTTTTTATGCGGAATTCTGTCTCGTGAAAACATTTTATGAAAAATTCCAACTATGAGGGCGTGTATGTCCGCAGAAATCTTTTCCAGGCCCACTATAACTACCTGGGTTTGGGCTAATCTTTTCATTAACATGTGAAGGGACTCTACTCGCCCTAGCCCATGTCTTTTCTCAGCCTTTTTTTCCCCTAAGGGGCTGTTTGGTTCGTTTCTTAGATATAGGGAAATGTAATTCCATGTAAAGAAACACAAGTTTTTAGTTTTCCAAACTTTTTCAAGAAATAGATTGTTTTGGTTTGGTTCGCACAAAAAAATGGTGGGAAACCCATGTTTTTACTTTTCTTGTGTTTGGTTTGCATGAGAAAAAAAGGGAAAACTTTTGTTGATTTGACATTTCTTACTTTTCTTGTGTTTGGTTGGTTTTGAAGTGTGTAGGAAAAAGTGTTTAGAGTCACCATGTTAAGATTACCCCCCCACTATAGATAAAAATTATTTGTGTTAGTTATGGGATGTAATCTTAATCATATAAAAGTGCGAATGTATCATGAACAAATAATAATAACCCGAATGAATTATAAATTTTTGTTTGTATTAATGAAATCATACGAAACCTGAAATCATCTGAAACCTACTATAACATGAACTGCGTACCTGGTTTGACATGAAATATACCTGTTTGAGATGAAAATAATCACACAAAACCTGTTTTCCAAGAAAAAATAAACAAGACCTGTAATAACCTGATTATTCATAAATTTATGAAATACGTACCTGAATTAGCAAAAAAAATTTCTGAAACCTATAAAAACATATAAACGGCCTGAATAGCCATATTTTAGTATATAACATAGCAAATAGCATCGAACCTGATAATTTATGCATGTTGAACTTTATGTGCAAAAAATCATTTGAAAATATTTCTTGACATCATGTCAAATAAATCAGCCACATGTATATTCGAATTATGCCTGTGGGCTCAGAACTTGTTCAATATCATCATTGTTAGTCATCCAGTGCAATATCAATAGATATTGCAGGTTGCTAATCTCAGAAAAATTAACAATCATCATAGCCTAAATTGAACACCCACAAACAATATCATAATCAACAAACAGTGCGGAAAATCTGAACACACATAGAGCTCCACAAAACATGAGCTCAAATAGAAGTTGAACAACAGAGCATCCACAAAACATGAGCTCAAATAGAACTTGAGCAAAAGAGAAGATGTCATATGTGCACAAAACATATCACAAACCAGAGCTCACAAAACTGGTGTGCACAAACATGAGCTCAAAGAGAAGTTGAACAACAGAACATGTAATCAGGAAACACCCACCAACTTGGAAGTTGTCACAAACCTGGACACAACAACAAACCCAAAAACCAACCTGGAAAGAAATCACAAACCCAACAACAAACAAGAACATCTTTTAACAACCTGGAAGGAAATCACAAACCCAAATATGTAATCAACACAAACAGATAATTGTGTTCATCAACCACAAACCAGAACCACTATTTAGCAACCTGGAATGAAATCACAAACCCAACAACCAAAAACAGAAGGAACAAAATCAGAAGGAACAACCAACAACAAGAACAACCAACAATCAGCAACAACAAACCCAAAAAACTACCAACCAACAACCAGACCAACCAACAACCAGCAACAACCAACAACAACAACCACCAACCAGACCAACCAACAACCACCAACGACAACCAACAACCAGACCAAACAACAACTAGCAACAACCAACAACAACCAACAACCAGACCAACCAACAACCAAACTTACCAACAACCAGCAACAACCAACAACAACCACCAACCAGTGCAACCAACAACCAGCAACAACCAACAACAACAATCACCAACCAGACCAACCAACAACCAGCAACAACCACCAACCAGACCAACCAACAACCAACAACAACAACTACCAACAATCCCGAGCACATATTGTGTTTAGCTTAGGGCTCAGAACTTGGTCAATATCATCATTGTTAGCCATCCAATGCAATATTAATAGATATTGCAGGTTGCTAATCTCAGAAAAATTAACAATCATCATAGCCTAAAAATATAAAAAAATCACCAACGAAAACCAAATACCTAAATGCCCCAGAGCAATAGCCATCCAGTACAATGTGTACACATTGTAGGTTGCTTGCATCTTAGGAAATATCCTGCATTCACAAATTCAATTACAAAAGTTAGTATTCCACAAAATGATATTAATCATGGAAGATAAATATTACAAAATGGAAGCAAATAAATACTTACTACATATTACAACAATATGTTCCATCATCATAATGTTCCACAAACACAATAAAAACATTATCACCAAAAGTAAGTGGATTTAACAAGTATGTTAGAAATGAGAATCACAAAATACCACGTAGAGACTTCTTCTATCGGTCTTCAACCCCCTTCGTTGAGAAAGGTAGCAATCATCTCTTTTTGACCAACCGATGATATGCCCATAAATAGTCTTGCTTCATGCTCATTCAAATATAAGTGTCGGTAGTATGTATCTAGCTTTTCAACACTAAAGTCTTGTAAATGAGCATATATGACCGTGGATAACTTCTCGGTCCAATGCATATTTACACACTTTATGTTTGCGCTAAATGCATCTATCTTATCCACTATTTTTAACATGAGCTCATCATCTAGGTTGTTCCTACGAGCCTTTCTCTTAGCAACACATACCTTTGCTTTAGATCTTGATATGGCGGGTGCTTCCTTAGGCGGAGGAGTGTCCTCCTCATCTAAAATGTGTACTTGAGGGGATTATGAGGCAGGTAAAGGCGAGTCAGCATCATCTCTAAGATTTATGGACTCACTACGACTAAATTTTTTCCAAGCATCACATGCAAATTCCCCTCTAGCTTGATCATCCCCGATGATAAGGGAAAGATCATCGTAGTGAGTCAAGGGTTTATTGACATATTGTCTAAGTTTAGCATTCTTAAAGCTCTTGTCCTAAAAAGTATAATTGAATTAATTCAATGAAAACATGTAAATAAGATAAGTAATCAAGGGTTATGTAAAAATAGTTTACGTACCTCAATCCACCTATCCAAAGATTCAGGATCCATGATGACAGTCTTGGTTCTTTTATCCCAACCGGCACCACTAAGATTACGACAAGTTTCCATATCACGGAATCTTGTACGCAAAGTTTTGATGCGGTTCATGATATTTTCCCACTTGAATAATGTGTTAAACTTCTCATTAATATGTTGGGAAGCCATATGAAAAGCGGTTCTCTTAAAGCTTTTGTCAGGTTTGTAACCCTTTCTTACCATGTCGGCAAGAAATGGAATGAGCTCATCATCGTAATGGGAATCCCAAAACATATGTTTGTTACCTTTAAGACCTCCAGTCTCACTATTTTTTTATTTGTTGAGGTGTTTTTCCTCCTCTTCTTTGGATTTGGTGATGTTTCTTCCCCACCTTCTATGAGCACCCGTTTGGAACCTGATTCGGGAGTTGAGCCATAACCACTAGTGGGAGAAAGTTGCACCCCACTAATATTAGGACTATGGAATTGTGTAGGCAAAGTAGGAGAACTTAGCATGCTTGTGTATGACCCAAAATGAGGGTGCATCGGGAAGTAACTGCCATCATGGAATGGCATGTTGGGAAATGCATGAGGTGGTTGCCCAAAGTATGACTGCTGAAAAGGAAAATACCCACTATCGCCTTGATGCAATGACTGAGGGGGTTGAGAGGGTAGAGGCTGAGATGGCGCTACACCCTTGCCTTTAGGAGTATCAACCATCACTAATTAAGTCAATAAGAACAAATTGAGTACATGAAAGATATTGCAAAGCAAAATATAAGAACATGAATACATGAAAGATATTGCAAAGCAAAATATAAGAACATGAATACATGAATGAAAAGCAAAATCTAAAAAGTGGACAAACCATCAAATTGTCACTACATACATGAGCATAAATAGTACAACAAATATGAGAATTAAGTCTCAGTAGTTACACTATGATTATACTTATCACAATAGTCCACCCACATCGCCCAAGCGATGTTATCTCTAAGAGTCTTCCACTCATTTCTTGATTCAGTTTTTTCTCTTTGGGTTTGAGTCTGAGTAAAATTAACTAAATTATTATCATTCTCATTTGTCACCTCACCATTAATATCTTCATCAATTTCGGACTCGCTGAGTAGTTCATCGCTTGGGTCAACAGTTGCGATGAAATTATGAAGTATCGTGCATGCCAATACGATATCTACTTGTGTAGGAAATGGATAATGCGGCTTAGCACACAAAATCTTAAAACGATTCTTCAATGTGCCAAATGCAGATTCAATCTTAGACCTCAAAGAAGAATGTCTTAAATTGAATAATTCCATTCTATTCTTAGGTGTTTTACCCGAATGTTCTTTCAAATGATATCGAACACCACGGTATAGAGATATGAAACCTAGCATGGTATGGTACTCAGCATCACACAGATAGTATTTGCCCACAATTTATTAAAACAATTGTTAAAGAAGTCAATTTTGCATATTAAATTTAAAATAATATAAGTTAAATTTTTATATAATTACCATCATAGACTTTCAATCCATGTGGTTGTGGTCTAGATAATGCATCCTGGAGAATCCTAAAATCATTTGCAGACCCCTCCCAACCTGCTAAGACATATGTGAATAATTTATCTGGGGTGCAAGCTGCAAGCACGTTCTGTGTAACACCTTTGCGGCCTCGAAATCGTGCAACAAGATTAATAGGAAGCATTGCATCAACATGAGTCTCATCTATCATACCAATGCAATCCTATAATACATGTATCACATTACTAAGTTATCATTTATTTTCATTGCTTATACATGTAACTGTGGTTAAAATGTAGATATATCTTGAAATAAGGATAGTATAGCTGGTTGTTAACGATCTCTTGGGGAGTATCATTGATGGCTTGTCTCATGTAGCGTCCACGCAAACAGATAATTGCTTGTAAAACTTTATTGAAATATCTACTGACTATCTCCCCTAATCTTATGAAATGAGATCTCACAATGCGATTTTTAGATTTATGACCCAAAATATTCTGTGTCATGATAAGTTGTTCTTCCACTGTTATATTCCTTGAGTCTTTTAGAAGCCTATTGTTCCTCATTATACTTATTAGCTTAACAAAAGCACCACTCCGCATTCTAATTAATTCACACAACTATCACTAAAACCATTATAAATACGCTCTATATGTTCAATTCTAGACCTCTCTTGTCTTTTTTTTCCTCACTTGGACCACGACGTATAGATTTACGTCTAGCTTGCATTCTCCTTATGAATGTAATTATTATAACAAGAACGGATAGTGCAGCACCTTGAACCACATTAACAACACTTTGTTCATCGGTACAATCCCCATCACCATCCATCTACGATGCAAAAATCAAATTGAAATAATTAATATACCTACCAAGCATTCATATGCAACGCCAATAATCAAAACTTAAATGACACATAACAAGATCTAAAGTTAATTTTCAGTTAATATTTTTATCAATATTTTTAGTTTCTTTTACGACCATTTAAGATAATTGTCAGTTCATTTCTGTTCTCTTTTCAATTATATTTATAATAATTAATATAATTTTTAGTTAATTACAGTAACATTTTTAGTTAATTACAATTATATTTTTAGATAAATTTCTGTTAATTTCTAGATAACTATAGAAAATGCAAAATTTCATCCTAATAATTCAAATCATATAAAATTTTTAACAAATCAATTTTGAGTTGAGAATCATACCTTAAGTCTGAAATCAGTTTCCAGGAAGATCAAAGTCGGCAAAAAAACCCAAAATTTTCCCAATAAAGGCGCTGATAAAATCCAGCAAGCCACGAAATCCAGCAAAAAACCCCAAATTTTAGCAAAATCTAGCAAAAACACCAACAAATAAGAACTCCCGCAAGCCACGAAATCCCGAGATCTGACAAAATCAACAGTATAGAACTCCCGCAAGCCACGAAGAGAACCCCCGTAAGTCACGAAGAGAACTCCCGCAAGCCACGAAGAGAACCCAAGGCGCGAAGAGTGAAAAAGCGAAGGAGGTGACCCTAGCCCTCAACTGTGTTTCCCCCCATTTACCCGAGATCTGACAATAGTACAGATCGGGGGCGATTTTCGAAGGAAATGGGGCGAAGAAAAAAGTCCGATGTGGAGGGGATTTCCGCGGCTAGAGGGACGAGGGGGAGAAGCGAACCAAAGCTGGGAAACGAAAACCCTAGAATAGGTTTTGTCGATGTGGAGCGGATGTCAGGAGAAGAAAAACGTTTTCACGGCTCAAAACAGCGAACCAAACGGGCCCTAAACAAATAAACTGCTCTGCTCTAGCGACGTTCATACTTGGCCAAATAATATAAAGAACGTATGGTGATTACATTAAAAAAATCACTTTTTTACAGTAACTAAAAATGTTTTACACGTAGCAATGGAAAGGCTACTATAGATAATTGTATTAAGTACATCTCCGTATTAATTCATGTCTACGCCGTGTATTTGGAAATATTTTTGTGGATATAATATTGCATGGAAACAAGATTCAATTATTACGGCAACATTAGGCTTACCCAACATCGGGTCAAATTTATATTGCATCAAGAGCAAAATCAAAAGTTAACAATATTGGCTGTTTTTTTAAGTCTAATTCAAGTCAATGCCTTCTTCTTCTTTTTTCTTCTACTTTTTCCCCCTCACTTTTAAAAAAAAAAAATTATAATAAACTAAGTCAATGCGTTAAATCTATCGGCAAAAACATTGCTTTGAAAATCAACATGAGAGTTCAATTGTCAACTCACATGAAGGGATGGCGTTGTTCTCGCTTTGCTTTGAACTGCAGCCAATTATTGTAACCTGAGAGGATTCTATAGCAGAATCTATGGGTTGGACCGTAAAATCAAGAAACAAAAACTTTAGCTCACACGCAACTTTAATTAGGTACGCGCGAGACCAGCAAAACGAAAATGTATAAATACTTAATTAGGTCAATATCATGAATTAAGTAAACCAACATATAAATTAGTCAACTGGGTCAGTTAGGCACATGACAAGCTTCTTACATATCAGAAAATTTGACTTTGAAACCTTGAGATCCTTTGGTTTCAGTCTCCAACTCGAGGAAGCAAATGTTGACATTAATGAGGTTATCAATGCAGTTGAAGTTACTCAATTTTAGCACCTGAATCGATCATTGCTAATTTAGGGCCCGGTATTTGGACAGGGAAAATGATTTAAGGACCCAAAATATGGGACCAAGGGAGGGGACAAGTGAGGTGTCCCCTTCCTATTGCATAATGAGCTGGCATAGAAGTATAACTTCACTTCAATTTATCTTTTATATATTCTTATTACCCTATGTCAGCATGTATTTATTTTTTTAACTTCACTTCAATTTATTATTCTTGCTCATGTATGTATACTGTTTTTAAGTGAAGTAACTTGTCCTTTTGGATTAAATACTATACTCTGACGTTGTAATTTTTTAGTAACGGACTTGCTTTGTCTTTGGGTAAACGGGTAGGGTTTGAGGCAGAGGAATATATTCGGTTGGTTCGGGTCGGGTCGGTTTGAAAAATTATCAACCCGACCCGAACCGCCTTATTCATAAAACCGCTTTTTTCGGGTCGGTTCGAATCGGTTCGGTCGGTTTTTTCGGTTTGAACCGAACCGTGCTCACCCCTACCCGTAGTAACACTCTAGTTTGACTCCTATGACAGAGAACCCACACTCGCACGATTTAGATCCCATCTATGTGGATGGTGCTTGATGGTATGCATGAAACATGCCATTTCAAAAAAAAAAGGTATATGTTCATAGCATCCTGTGAGCAGTGGTGGATCCAGGATTTTGGGAAAGTAATGTCACTAAATAATTAATAATTAAAAAATTATAATTACGCCCCATGAGTTTTCATATTTGGAAGAAAAAAAACCTAATCGGATCATTACTAACACTACCAAATATATATTTCTCAAGAAAAATTCCTTAATGACCCAAAATATGGGACCAATAGAGGGGACAAGTGAGGTGTCTCCCTTCTATTGGATAATAAGTTGGTCATCATTAATGATGGCCAACTTATTATCCAATAGAAGGGAGACACCTCACTTGTCCCCTCTATTGGTCCCATATTTTGGGTCCCTGTAGCAAAGCTCATTTCTCAATGTATAACGTCAGTGAGCAATTATCGAGCCAATCACCACTCATTTATTATGCAACTTACTCTTAATTAACTTCATTGCATTAAAAACTCTTTTGACAGTCACCTGAGCTACATATAAAATCAATGCAATCTTCAAAACAAAATACACAAAATAGTTTAGGCTTAATTGCACATAAATACTCTGTAGTTTCACCTACTTTGTACATATATACCCCCAGTTGTAGTTGGTTGCACTTTAATACTTAAATTTTCTAAAAGTTTCACTTTAATACTCTTGGTTATGCAAATTAACATGAGATTCTCTCCCCAAAAATTGTCATGAGATACTCACACACTAAGTTTAGAATATTTTAAATCGGCAGACTCAAAATAGGAATTTTGATAAGTTTAACAATAGCTTTAATAAAAGAATAAGCGTTAAAATATTCTAAAGTTAGAACGTGAGTATCACATGAGAATTTTCAAGGGAAATTCTCATTTTGATTAACTAAGAATATTAAAGTGCAAGTTTTAAAACTTTTAGAGTATTTAAGTGCAACCAAAATACACATGAGAGTATATATGTGCGAACTAGGTGAAATTATAAGATGTTAAGTGCAATAAAACCGTGGTTCCATGTGAGGTGGGGTCTTATTATTCTTTGACCACCAAAGTGGGGTCACGTGACCCCACTTTTGGTATAGGTAGATCCACCACTTCCTGTGAGTTTTCTATAATCTGGATTTTGTTACTGTTAGATTGGTGAAGCAACTAAAATATCTCTCATTGATAATCTGGATTTTTCGACTTAAATTATGAGAGATTTGATTGTTGTTAGTGTGAGATTTAGTTTTAGCATTGTTGTTTTTCTTTACTTGTAATTTTTCTTTGCTTGTAAAGCTTCAATTTTACAGTATCTTGTTGTATTTATGGAGCATTAATAAAGCATTTATTTACTTCTCAAGAAAAAGCATATTGTGAATTTTTATCGTATATTATCAAAAAAACAATCTATGAATTAATTAAATATCATCAAATTTTGTTTGTGTTTTTACGAAATTAGCGTGAATATTTTCACTCATTAAATTACGGCTAAATGGCCCTTAAGTACCCTATTGTTTCACCATATTTACACTAAAATATCCTAAGTTGTAAAGAGTATAGCACATTAATATTTTAAGTTGTCCATCGTTAAAATATTGTAAAGACCATTAAATAAACATGTTATGACAAAGATACCCCTCCATAGAAATTTATTGAAAAGTTGGAGGGTATGTATAGTGGTAAATATGACAATAAATTGGGTCAGTACAATTGTAACAATGTCATGTGGCAATCACATAGGAATATTCTCATTCTCAGGAATATCCTCATATGCAATGGTAAATAATTTCATAAATTATAGGGGATATAATGTAAAACCCCTCCACCTCTCTCAAAACTCCTCCGGCTATTAATTTGTCCAGCAAGTTGCAAATATATCTCGAGTCATTTAGATTTCTGCAAAGACCCAACTATGTTTACAAATACTCGTCCACAAGGACTCAACCAGCTACATCTCGTTCGTATGCATCCACAAAGACTCAACTATCTTCCGCTTATCTCCGGCGCTCATTCTCAATCAAGTCTCATCCTAGTCCATTTTTCACATTTTCTCTCTCATTTAGTTTGGACCCCCCCTACTGAAATTCCTAGCTCCGCCACTAAACATTATAGAGCGGCACTAGGGGCACACCCCCAACCACAATTCCAACCACACACACTCTCTCATTTGCTCCAGTACACCGGGCTCCACATGAGATTTTAAAATTTTTAAATCTCATGTGAGGCCTGATGCACTGTAGCAAATGAGAAAGAGAGTGTGGTTGGAGTTATTGTTGGGGGTATATGCTCCTATCATTTTCCAACATTATATTATTCAAAGCTTAGTAGTACTATTGCTTTTTTATTTCATTTTTTTGGGATAAAAGGAACTCACAAGACTATCGTACAAGGTATTGATAGTACACGGGTTTTTCTCCCCTTTTTCTCCTCCTTCCCATCAAAATAAAGGGTTAAAAAAACTCGCGAGACTAATTATTAAGCACGCAACTAAAAAAGTTTTTGGTAGGAAAACTTTAATTCTTCCTTGTATACAAACAGAAGCAATTAGGCTAATACACTCCACGCTCCAGCACACAGAGATCGTGTAGCCGTTGCCGCTGTTGAAGGCATGCTGCATGTGAGCGAGGGCA